ATTGGGAGAGGGGGTGAGAACACTCGCCTTCACCAAATAAAACAAGGCCAGAAACTCAGCTGGCTACGTAATAAACAAACTTCGGAGCACGGTCCAACCGACCACGCGGTTGGAGGCCTCCAGTAAACAAGAGCGGAGCGAACGCTACCGTTAACCAAATAGCAAAATATAAGCAAAAAACCACTACTTACCAGTGTTAAATCACACACATAGTAGTCATAAACAACGTCGGAGCACAGTCCAGCCGACCACGCGGTTGGAGGTCTCCTAACAAGCGTGAGCGGAGCGAACGCTACCGCTAACCAACGGCGAAATATAAGGAAAACTACTCACCGGTGTTGAATCACACACATAGTAGTCAGACGCTGTAAGTTGGGAGAGGCGGAAACAGCCGTAGTTCCCAACGAAACAGCAGAAATACCTTTGAACAGGGTTAAACCGTCGCAGCCCTAGGAGGGCGAACACGCTACTCCCGCAGACGGGCAGTCGGGCTTCCGACGACGGTAAAAAGTTCAGAAAAGGTCCAAAGGGCTGAAGCCCTGAATTGAACCGCGCGCGAGAAGAAAATAGGAGCAGAGCAGCGGATGACGTCGGGCTATATAGCCTCTGATTGGTCATCCGTGTCACACCTGTGACTCCGTTGGTATTATTACTCGAATCAGCGCATGCGCGAAGGGAACATTCAGTGCTTTCAGCACCGCCCTCTGGCGGTCAGGAGGGATGAAATAGAACTTATATAACCAAAATAAACACCCATACAAATAAAAAACATACAAAATAAAGATAAAATGAGGTATAACAAATATCAAAAACCCTGCATCTAGCCAAAAGACTGTTTATGACTCGTTTGTTTTGTTGTTTTGTTCAACTTATCCCCTATTCTTTCATTCATAAAAGAACATTAGATGCGTTTAAATGCATCGATTGACAAAGATGCAGAAAAAAGGGGCAGTGCGTTCTAAAGTTGGGTGTAATTGCTTTGAACGACTGCTCCTCACGAGATTTGAAACGAACGCTAAAACAATGAATGACTTTGCATCATGTTCAGATGTTTCCATGCTGTGGAGAATCAGTCAGATAAAGCTTAAACTAATCAAATGTGGGCTGAAAACACCGGGATAAACTTCATGTTATGTTGGTCTTTATTGCAAACCGTCTTTAAAATGCTCACATTTCCAAGTGAAGCAGAAAGTTCAGACTTTACAAACAAACCACTAAAGACCAGTTGAGTGTTGAGGCTGTTTACTCCTCAAACTCCATCAGCTTCTGCTGATTTGAGTTTTATTGTCACAGTTGTTGCCCTCACATGCTACAGTCGAGAGTTCAGAGCTAAACTCTACAGGAGCACTCAGAGTTATTCTTACAAATCTGGAGGAGTTGTCATTCTTGACGGTCTTTGCGTTTCCAAAAGCCTCCAGAATGGGGTTTGCTTGCAGCAGCTGCTTCTCCAGTTCCCCCTGATGGAGACAGGTCAGACACAATCAAGCTTCACAACTCACAGGATTTGTGCCACGCTGCACAGCTTTCATTCATCATCATCATCATTTTTTTTTATAAAGCGCTTTAACACAGCACAGCTCAAACAAAGTGATGAACATCAGTTAAAAATAAAATAAAAATAAAGTTACAAAGCCACGCACAGTGAACTAAAAACTCAATTTAAAACACAATAAAATGACGAATTAAACAGATAAAATCAATACCAATAAAAATAAGTAAAATTAAGTCTCAGTTGGGCTGAAGGCCAATGAGTAGAGATGAGTTTTCAGATGGCTTTTAAACATGGACAGTGAGGGAACCTGTCGAATGTGCAAAGGCAGAGCGTTCCATAACTTCGGGGCACTAACAGAGAAGACCCCGTCTCCTCGAAGCTTCTTCTTACTCTTACTCTTGGGAATGGGTCAGCGGACCTGAGTGACCAAGGAGAGTGCAGTGGTGGAGAAGCTCTGTTAAATAAGGTGGAGCAAGGCTGTTTAAAACTTTAAAAACAAACAAAATAATTTTAAAATGAACTCTAAAATGCACAGGCAGCCAGTGGAGAGAAGCCAGGACAGGTGTGATGTGCTCTTTTACATGTTCCTGTTAAAAGACGTGCAGCAGCATTTTGCACCAGATGCAGACGTGTAAGTGAGGACTGGCTGACTCTGAGATAGAATTACAGTAATCCAGCCATGATGAAATGAAGGCATGGATTACAGTTTCAAACTGTTGCCTTGAAAAAAAATATAGATTTAACCTTTGCCATTTTTCTTAAATGACAAAAACCAGACTCGACTGTGGCCCTTATTTGACTGTCGAGTTTAAAACCAAGGTTTGTAACTGTGGACTTCACGTACATTGTCAGGGGGTTTAAATCAACTGGAGGGTTCGAACAAGCTCCACTAGGTCCAAAAACAAGCACCTCTGTCTTTTTTAAATTCAAACACAGGAAGTTTATGGCCATACAAGCATTAAGATCCTCGAGACACGATAGAGGTTTAATGGACCAGGCATCAACTCGCCTTAAAAGGCACATAGATTTGGCAATCATCAGCGTAGCAATGAAAGGAGATGCTGTGTTTTCTAAGAATTGATCCTAGAGGAAGTAGATATAAAAAGGAAAAAGCAAAGGTCCTAAAATTGATCCCTGAGGAACCCCACATGACAGAGCAGAAAGGGACTCACACCCAGCAATTTTTACAGAAAATGTTCCGTCTGCCAGATAGGACCCCAACCACTCCAGAGCAGTCCCACCGATGCCTACTTGGTGCTGTAGACGTGGCAATAAAATGCTGTGGTCCACTGTGTCAAACGCAGCAGTTAAGTGTAGTAACACAAGGATCACATGATCACCTGAGTCACATGCCAGGAGGATGTCATTAAAAACTTTCATTGCTGAAAACTACAACAGAAAACCCTTTTAGAATAACTCAAGGGAAAGTTATTGTTGCCCAATTGAGTGCACGCACACACAAGCAAAATCCTTCACATTCCAGCGTACAGCACATTCCAGCAGAGCAGCAAGCTCGCTCAAGCTCCAAACCAGGCGAGGTCTGTGCAGGCACAAGCTGGAACACCACAGCAGGTAAAACACAGCCAGGTCGAACAAGGTGCTCACAGGAACTGCCAACAAGAGCAACGACGGACAGAAAAACAGACTGGGGGGGGGGGGGGACAACAACCTTTGGTTAAACCACAAGTTGGTCTCCAATGAAAGATTCTGCAGAGCCAGAGTGAAGGTGCATAAATATTGAACGTAACTGAAAATATAACCTAAACACCAAAACTTGGTCCAAATCAACAGCCAGACAATATTTATAATTTTATTTTTTCATTTCAAATAAAAAGGTCCTTGGTTTTTAGATGCAACAATATAAACTAGCGGTATATAAATTTATATTTCCTGCCAAAATGCACAGTGCCAAATTATTTTACTGAAAGTTGCTTTAAAAGCCAGAGTTTATTTGAAATATGTCAATAGCTAAAATGTAAAAGATGAAGCTGCAAGAAGCACAAAAAGCAAAATAAATAAATAAATAAATAAATAAAATAAATAAATAAATAAATAAAATAAATAAATAAAAATACAAACCAAAAAAAAAAAAAAAAAAAATGCAGAAAAAGGTTGAAATTAGGTTAAAAAGGCATAAGTGTGCAGCAAAGCAGTACCGGTAATTAGCAAAAAATGTAAAAAACTTAACGCTAAATGTAGTGTTAATGAGAATGAATAAATGTTAATGTGTAGTGTTATGCACAGTAAAGCTAGTAAAAACCAAACAAAATTGGTAACTAAGAGCCAGAAGTTGTGAAATGAAAAAGTTAGCTTAAAGCTATAAGTAGCAAAATGCTGCCAAAAACAGGAAAACACTCTCCAAGAGCCAGAAGAAGCAAAACTCTAGAAAATGGCAAAAGCTAGGTTAGTCAGAAAAAGCAAAACAAAGCTGAAAAATGCTAAGTAAGAGCCAGAGGTAGTGAAACGCTGGCAAGATATATAGAAAAAGCTAGTTTAGAGCAAGAAGTAGTGATCAGTGGTAAATCCAGTTTAACAGTTTAATATAACCTTCAAATCAACAGACAACAATGTTGGTCCAGCTGTCAGGTTTGAGATTTATATGTAAAAGAGTTCCCAATTTAAATCGGTTTAAAGGAGTGACCTTTGACCTTGACTCATAATTTTAAATCGATAGGGATCTTTGTTGGCTGACGTGGTGTCCAGCTGTGAAGTTTGACGTTTCTTTTATCGGTTATCAGATTAGAGCTATTTAAAGTCAGGGGTGATTTTTGACCTTGATTGTTGACCTTACCCTTTGAAAACTGACAGTGGAAAGGTAGATGAAACAACTGAACCAAAAAGATCAAATTAGCAGAAAGAAGCCAAAAGGAGCCAAAAACAGCTCAAATGAGCACAGAAGCTGCAAAAAAACTGAACAAAATTATGAAATAAGCAGACAAGGGCTTAAAGAGGACATCTGTTGAACTAAACGCAGAAAAAAGTATAAATGATCACATTTACAAAGGTAAAATGAGCAGAAATGGCTCAAACCATCAGGGAAACAGCTGAACAGATGCTGAAAGGCAAGACAAAAAAGGTGTTAACTGAAAGAAGCTAAAGGAAACATAAAATTTGAAATATGCAGAATGAAGTTAAAAACAGCTGAGCAGCAAAAACATCTGGAAATCAAACCTGCTGTAGAACAGAAGTAGGACAGGAGAGAAACAACAAAACTAACTAACTCTGATTTTACAAGAAAGGTTCAAGATATCACAAAGCTGAATCAGCTGGTGACAGCTGAACGGCTCATGAATGTTTAAACGTTGAACAGACTTTTAGGTGACAGTTCAACAAACAGTAAGATGAAGGATTTCATGCGTTTCAATGAGAAACTTTGCTGAAAAAGATGAATATTTTAAAAACTTTAAAAATATAATACCAAGGTCATAATTAAAAAAAAGTTCATGTCCTGAACGAGCTGAAAGCTTTAGCTGAATTTCTAAAATAGCTTAAGAACTGGAACGAATTTAAAAACAGGAGGATAAAACTAGCTTTGAGTCAGAAGTACTGAAATGCTAGCAAAAAGCAGGAAAATGCATCTATAAGAGCTACGTTTGCCAAATAAGGGAGAAAGAAGCTGAAATGAGCAGGAAAATTGAGAAATTAGCTGAAAATAGCTGAATTTAGCAAAACAAAATTTAAAAAAAGCTGAAAAGTAGCTGAAAACGCAGAAAAATGCCTAAATTAGCTGAAGTAAGCAGAAGGAGCACATTGGCTGAAAGAAGCTGAAATGAGCATAAACGTGGAATTAGCTGAAAAGCTAAAATTAGCATAAACAACTAAATAGTAGCTGAAAATATATTATAAACCTGATATTAACAGAAAGAAGTTACAAGAAAACCAAGAGCTCAAGTTAGCAAAAACAATCTTAAAGGAGAAAAAAAATTAGCTGAAAAATACATTGAAATTAGCTGAAAGTAGCTGAAGAAAGCTAAAATTAGCACAAAGAAGCTGAAATAAGCAGAACTAGAAGTAAAGGAGCAGTAAAAGGTTGTAAACATTTCAAAGGATCTGAAGGAAGTGAAGTGAGTTCAATTCATTTTTAATGAATTGAAATGGCAGAAAAAGCTAAATATTACAAACAGCTAAAGTTGCACCAACACCAAAAGTCATATCCATAGTGTCCTGAATGAGCTAAACATTTTGATATAAGAGTTGTTGAAATAGCACAAAAATAGCAGGATGAGTTTGCAACTGAAGATATTTTCAAAGAATTATAAACAATAGCTTAAAATAAATTAATTATTTAAAATAAAAAAAGGCCAAAGCCTTTATTTTCTATTTCTGCACTGAAGTTTTTCCATTTGTTTAGTCTTAGCGATGCATATCATTTACAACTTATCAATTAAAATCCCTCAACCGAACGGTCTGTTAATAACAGTGTCCTTAAATAAAAACTGTCGATACATTAAAGCAAACTGCTGCATTGATGCAGAGAGGTCCGACGCCTGACGACTTGTCTGCAGGCCCATCACACAGAGCTCAAACTGGCCGGTCCTCTCCAAACACTAAATGAAGAAACTAAACTTTAACGTTGGCTAATGACCATGTGACTGACGTCTGCTTCATCATAAAGCAAACACATAAAAACTGCAGAGACTTGATGGGCCAGTTCGGATACACTTCAAATCTTATCGGCCCGCTCAAAAGTGCAACAAGGACCAAATCTGGCCCGCAAGCCTTCATCTGGTGTCTGTAAAGAGAAGGCAGAGACTCGTTGAAAGAGACGGGGTCACAACTGCCTCGTTTTAAATCTCTCCTTCAAATAATGAGTTTAGAAGGTTAACTGAGGTTTGTGTGAATAAAACGGAGGTTTCTTCATTTTTTTGTCTTTTGGCAAAAGAACACTTGCTGACCGCAGCTTTCAACTTAAAGGCACGAACCACATCAGAAACTTGGATCAACTCAAAACAGAACAGTCTGTTTGAAACTAGGCCCGTCACGATAAATTTTGCTGGGCCATAAATTGCCTCAGAAATGATAAATGATAATATTGTTTGAAATTTGACAATAATTAGTAATTATTGTCAAATTTAAGAAGAAAATGTTTGTTAATTTGTTTTGTGTGCAGTACCTTTTATTGAACACCGGATGGCAGTATAAGACTGAACTGAAGGATGGATAATGAGGGAGCGAGCAGCGTGTCTAAGAAAAATGGGAGGGGGGGCCTCTTGACGTGACATGAGCCATCTCTCTTCGGTTCTCAAAATGGCGGATGCTCCGTATGGTTTGAGCTCTTTAGCATAGCGTTTTTCACACAAAGCTTTTATAAAACATCAGTAAACAAGTTTTAGGCCCTGTGATGGACTTGCGACCTGTCCAGGGTGTACCCGGCCCCTCGCACAGTGATTGCTGGATATGGGCACCAGCAACCCCCGTGACCCAAAATGGAATAAGCGGGTAAAGATAATGGATGGATGGATGGATAAACAAGTTCTCAGCTTCTTTTTGCAAAGAAAAACAACTTTTTACACAAAGTCACAAGTTTCAACCAAGAATTTTTGAGCTTTGGTTTGGAACTGAGGTTTTTCCCCACCCTGTTAGCTTAGCTCGTAGCTTAGCTTCTCAGCTTAGTTGCTTTTAACAATCCAAAAATGCGATTTTGGACGGTTAAAACAGATTTTAAAGAGAAAAGAGAAAGGGAGGGGTCAGTGAAGAGCACCGGAGTTTAACTTTTTGTCATCCAGTGTCTTCAGTAGAAAGAGAGAGACATGAAGAAACAATAAAGTCAATAAATGAAAATGAGGTTGGTAATTTTCATTTATTATGCGATTAATTGATTTATCGTTTATTGCGACAGGCATGGTTGAAGCTGCCATCCTTTTTACAGAACACAGACAAATAGTTGTTAGTATTAAAATCAGGGATTCACTTACGTGTGACAAAATGGTGCTGGCCTGTAAAAGAGGTAAAAATGTCCATTACCATATTTGATACTAAATTCTGCACAGAAAGAAAACATGATGAGTCAGGACAAAATGATCAACACAACTTCACATGCTGGGTCTTGTAAAACAGCCCACATACGAGCAGTAGCACAGGTATGTAAACATCTTCACTTTTAGTCGCCATGGGGGGCGAGGCACGTCTAAACCTGAGACAAGAATGTTCGGTCGCTGCACGACTTGTTCAAATACACCGCTACAGATTCTGACTAAAAATGGAAACCTGAAGGATTTGAAGAAAAGAGGAAAGTTTCCACTGTGGTCTGTCCATCTAACCAGCTAGTTGAGTTTTACTAACCTGGTCTTTTTTAGACTTGAAGGATGAAGCAACGTGAGCGAGATACTGAATGACTTTCTTCGTATTTTCCGTTTTGCCTGCTCCCGACTCCCCACTGCGGGGTGAAAACAAAAAGAAAGGGGGGCGAGTTACATATAAAGATCACAGAACTTCTGAATCCAAATGTTTTAGCTACACAAACAGATTTTGTTGAAGTGTGATAAGTGGCAGGTACTGATGAAGGTCAAAGGTTGATCCAAAACTCAAACCATCTCAACTCCCAGTGAAAACTGACAGTAGAAAACAAAACCATGTCTGAAAACATTTCAGTCACTTTGTAGTGCTTCTGTGGAAGTGTTAGACACTTAGTATTTCATGTCCTCATGCATGATCAATAATCCAGGTGGATGAATCTAACCAGGCTGCGTCAGGTCCTCTGGATAAATTCTTCTTCTTGAAACGTTTCATCTTTAATCCAAAAGACTTCTTCAGTCTGAGGAACTGCAACAAACTCAGTTTTATAAGCAGCACCTTCTCATAGTGGATGAAGCAGTTTGTTGCTGATGGCCAGAACCAGCTGTTCACATGATCAAGGAGGAAAATCAGCCCAACAATTGATCGTTAGTGCTCTGAAGGTTGCTTGTTATTCACAGAGGGCTGAGTGATACTAGCAGTAACAGTATTGTAAGAGGGGGACAGGTGGACACGGAGGCTCCACCCCTTTTTAATGATTGACAGGTTCTTCCAAAGATGGCCTCCTTTACTCCTCTATCAAACCATCGTTCTTCTCCATCAAGGATGTGCCATCTATTGATGATAGAGTGACCTCTGAATCTACACTCTGCAGTCTAAAAAGGATGTCCCTTGACAAAGGACATGTCCATGTCCAAAGCTATTGTCCATGTCCTGCCGTCATGCCCAGGATGTCCTGGGCAATCCGAAAAAGGATGGCCCAGCGCAGAGGAGCAACATCATCAGGCCAGGACTCAGATCTACACTCACGTGCAGGTCAGAGGTCACTCTTTCAGGGATGAAGAAGTTCACATTCTGGATAGAGAGGAACAATGGTTTGAGAGAGGAGTAAAGGAGGCCATCTTTGTGAAAAGAAACCGTCCATCATTAAACAGGGGCGGAGCCTCCGTGTTCAACTGTCCCCCTCTTACAATGCTGTTATTGCTAGTATCACTCAACCCTGTGAATAGTAAACAGCCATCAGAGCACTAAAAATCAATTGTAAGGCTGATGATCCTCCTTGATCATGTGAACAGCTGGTTCTGGCCATCAGCAACAAACTGCTTCATCCACTATGAGAAGGTGCTATATACAAGACTGAGTTTGTTGCAGCTCCTCAGACTGAGGAAGTCTTTTGGATAAAAGACAAAACTTTTCAAGAAGAAGAAGAATCTGTCCAGAGGACCTGACTCAACCTTGTTAGACTTAGTATCTTACCTGTTGTAGATAGCTCAGTTTGGAGAAACAACAGTTTAGTTCTAGAGCGGTGGTTTTAACCCAACAATGACCAGAAGTTGATCACTGCCGTAATAAACCAACTCCAAGCTCAAACATTTCTAAGCAGTTCATGCAGACGTCATTTCTGGTGCAGCCTCGGGCACTTCCTGCTTGAACAGACATTTCTGCTAATGAAGGTGGAAAGAGAAGTTGGAGGCAGCGTGAGGTCTGTAACGTTTGCATGAACCTGTTTGAGAGAAGTTGTTTTAAGACGGCAGCTGCGTTCAGCCCAGCCGTTGGCCTGGTGGACCTGAACCTTTTCTCAAATCCGAGGTCTTTCAAATAGCCATCCACAACTGCTACGATGTTTTTACAGACCACTTCGAAATGTCTGGAATATGCCTTCAAGTTTCCAGACTGTTCGACTTTTCCAGTTGGTCCGCCCAGTGCAACAGTTTGTATGTTCTCTGCAGTTCTTAAGTAATTCAGTTAATAATCCCGTCTGGGTTCAACACTTGGAGCATTCATACTTGTACAACTTAGCTTTTAAAATTTTAAGCTAACGTTTAAAATTAAACTACCAATAAATAGCTTTTTTTTTTTTTTTAACTGCTGCATCATTTCTCACCAAAAACACGCCACTTAAACTAAAACCGTTCAAGAAAAGAAAAGAAAACCTACGTGCAGAGGATGGACTGATCCTCACGATCTGTAGGAGAGAGAAACAAGTTGAACAAACTGCAACAAGTCAATGAGCTCGAGTGAAGCTCGGTCAGCGTGCAGGTGTGTGCGTGCACTAGACCAGTCACTAACAAATTTTGCTGGGTGATTAATTGTCTCAGAAATTATTGCGATAAACGATAATATTGTTAGAAATTTGACAATAATTAGTAATTATAGTCAAATTTAAGAAGAAATGTTGGTTAATTTGTGTGTGTAGAACCTTTTTTTTTTTACCACCGGATGGCAGTATAAGCCTGTTTGAACTGAAGGATGGACAGTGAGGGAGCGAGCAGCGCGTCTAAGAAAAATGGGAGGGAGGCCCCTTGACGTGACATGGACCGTCTATCCTTCCTTGTTTTTGGTTCTCAAAATGGCGGACGCTCTGTGTGGTTTGAGCTCTTTAGCATAGCATTTTTCACACAAAGCTTTTAATAAAAAAAAATTTTTTTAAATCAGTAAACAAGTTCTCAGCTTCTTTTTGCAGAGAAAATCAACTTTTTACACGAAGGCACAAATTTCAACTGTGAATTTTGGAGCTTCGCCAAGACTGAGGTTTTTTTCTCGAGGTCGGCCTGTTAGCTTAACTCGCAGCTTAGCTTCTCAGCTTAGCTGCTTCTAAAGATCCAAAAACACGATTTTGGACGATTAAAAACAGATTTTAAAGAGAAAAGAGAAAGGGAGGGGTCAGTGAAGAGCACCGGAGTTGAGCCTTTTGTTCATCCAGTGTCTTCAGTGGAAAGAGACATGAAGAAATGATAAAGCAGATAAATGTAAATGAGGTTGATAATTTTCATTTATCATGCGATTAATTGATTTATTGTTTACTGTGACAGGCCTAGTGTGCACGTGCACGCAGGAAGCAGCGGTTTATTTTCAGACAACGTCCAGCTTTTCAGTTTGCTAATGCTTCACAGCGTCAGAGCCTTGGACGCACCCTGCATCATGCTCCTGTAGGCCGTGTCGGTGACGGCGTAGATGTGGGGGGGCATCTCGTGTCTCTTCTTGCCCTTGTACATGTCGACGATGTCCTCGCTGTAGATGGGCAGGTTCTTGTACGGGTTGATCACCACACAGAAGAGACCCGAGTACGTCTGAGTCAGAACAGAGAGTTAGAGAGCAGCAGTGCAGAGAGACGTTCATCAACGACGAGACTCACGTAGATGAGTCCAGAGTAGTATCTCTCCTTCAGGTTGTGCAGAACGGACGCTTCGTTGAGGCAGGTGAGCTCCGCCATGTCCTCCACCTTACTGAACTTTGGTGGGTTCATCTTCTGGATGTCATCTTTGCTCACCTTCACCTGGAATTTAAAGCAACAAGAAGAAGTTTCACCAGCTGCTGCAGGAAAGAGTCATCATTACAAACAATCTGAGAATCTGGACCGTCACCTTCTTGCCCGAGTCCGTCAGCTCCACCACACACTCGTCTCCTTGCTCTTCTTTGAGGGAGCCGGACTCGAAGCCCACCTTCTCACTGGGGACCCACACCAGTTTCTTGGAGGACCAGTCAGCCTGAGCCAGAGGGTTGCTGACCGCGCTGCGGTCCCCGTACAGATACTTGTCTGCGTCCGTCATGGTGGCTGGAGGAAACGGGAAGAGAGGCGGACACACAGACTAACTTTACCACATTGGTCTGTATGGAGGCATTTCTGTTACGGTTCTGAAGGTTTTGGTTTAGCATCACACGCAGAGGCCATGCAGTGTTTGATGGGAGTTTTAACTTCGACCTCCGCCTCAAAACTAAGATTTTATTCCAACAAGATACAAAATGCACACGCAGCTTTAGAGGAGCAACAAAGACCTTTATTCTTCAGCGTGTTTAATGTTCAGCGCAGACTGGAGTGAACCATTAACCATTAAACTGACTTAGAATCAGGCATGTGCAGTCAGATTCCAGGTTTATCCGAGCTGCTTCATATCTCCCATCTGAGATTTCCAGGACACAGCAGGAGTTTCCTGGTACTACGCTGCAGAACAGCGGGGAGCCGGGTCGTACAGGCCCAAACCAAAACCATTCCTGCTCAGACAAGTCGCAGATTAAACGTTGATCCGAGGCCAGTCGGCACAATGGGGTTTGGATACGAACCTGAATTTATCCTAGAGTATAGGAGAGAGTGATGACGATCACATCACACGATAACTGATATCAGCAGAGACATTCTTTAACACCAACTACAAACCTGCTGATTATTCATAAATAACACTGTATAAAGTTCACCTCACTGTCAGAGCAGAAACCTTCTGTACCACTTCAGGCAACGCTGTTTAATGAACATTTACAATGCTGTTCATTTCATATTACCATATTTTCCGGCGTATAAGTCACAGTTTTTTTGAATAGATTTGTCAGTCCTGCGACTTGTACAAGTTTTTTTTTTTTCCATATTCATAATGCAATTTTTGACTGACACTTTAAATTTCCAAGAACTGCAACAGTGAGTCCTCCCGTGCACGCTTGCTTCACTCAGCTGGTGGAGGAACGCTGGAGAGCTAGCAGCTCCGGCCGCGATGAATGGATGGCGTCGCGCAGGCGAAATGAAGCCGTTTCGACCATTAAATAAAAACATAATAAACACAATGGGTCAGGGGTGATGCATAAGAAATGTGACTTATAGGTGTTCTCTCCGTGCATGTGTGGGTTTTCTCCGGGTACTCCGGTTTCCTCCCACAGACCAAAAACATGCATGTTAGGCTGATTGGTAACTCTAAATTGTCCCTAGGTGTGAGTGAGAGAGTGAATGGTTGTTTGTCTCGTTTGTCTCTATGTGTCCCTGTGATGGACTTGCGACCCGTCCAGGGTGTACCCCGCCCCTCGCACAGTGATTGCTGGACATGGGCACCAGCGACCCCCGTGACCCAAAATGGAATAAACGGGTAAAGATAATGGATGGATGGATGGATGTGACTTACAGGGTTTTTTTCCCCTCTTCATGATGCTTTTTTTGACTGATGCAACTTATACTCCGGAGCGAGTTATACGCCGGAAAATACGGTACATGGCTGTTTACAAGAGCAGCAGCAGCAGCTGGCTGTAGCACTTTGGTGTTGCTGCAGGTGGACTAGTTAATCAGAGCTTCACTCCAAACTGAGGGTGTTTAAGAGCCATTTACAACAGGTAAGAAGTCTTTATCCACTTCAAAATGGCCAGAACATCCCTTTAATCTGCTCAGAGGACACTGGTGTTTAGTGTGTGTGTGTGGGGGGGGG